GGGTGGGCGCCTTAGAGCTATGTTTGCGTTGCATCAGCCTCGTGATGCCGGTCACCCACTCCTACAAGAAGCTACTAGGAACTCAACTTTCGGGGGCAGTACCACTAACTTTAGGTCGCTAGCTCACACGGGAGCCTTGAAAGGCTCGGTCAACAAGGGCGCCCATGTAGTCTGTTGGCTGCCAACTCCCGCGGAAGCCACGAAGAACTCATCTTTGTAGAGGGGACCTCGCGAAGAGGACTGGTGAGGTTTTATCTGAATTGAAAGTAAAGTTGGTAGAGCTATGAAAACTTAGCTTTTTGTAGTGTTTCCCACAGAACCATAGAGGGTTCAGTGAATGTCGCGCCGACTACAGGAGGGAGTGACGCGTTCACTTGTGCAGTCGCTTGGGGCATCGTTAGCGCTGGAACCTCAACCGCAGTAAGCGGTATGGTGAACTAACCTATGCAGACAGATGAGAACTGAGGTTGCCCCTCGGAGACGTGCACTTCGTTGTTTTGTCCGACGTTGCTGGAGGAAGCCATGGATTTGATTATGAGCTTGAGATTTTTGAATGGAGACAAGGGCTATTAGTAGCAGTTCCCACAGACGGCGCCAAATGATATGGCGCAATCCGGCTGCTCCTTGCTGGAGATGATCTGGCTACCTGCAACGACGGGCTCGAAGAACTTGCAAGAGACGAACTAGAGAACCCGGGGTTGTTAAACCGGCGGGGAAGCTCCGATGCTTAAGTTAGCACTTAGTTGTGAGTTGAAAATGATATCAGATTGTGAGAGAGCTAGAGAGTAGAGATTACGCCTCATTTGCTCCTGGGGGGTGAGGTCTTTATATATTGGAGTCCTCGCGGGTTTGGTAGAGTAGTTCCTGGATCCCCGCTGTGACAGGATCTGTTTCTATGTTAGTTGGGCATAATGCCACCAAACGGTAAGGTTGCCAATCTCCGCCTGAATCGGGGAGTGGGTGAGATAATACTAGCTGTTACAAGGCATGATCCCGTAAGACACAGGGTACGGTGGTGAGATCCTTGGAATTACCATGCGGTGGTCGGTCTGACTAGGAGGCGAACTACATGTGAGGTGTCGGGCTGCTTGGTGGCGAGCTGCCTAGTGGCAAGCTATCTGTGAGGTGTCGGGCTGCTTAGTGGCGAGCTACCTGTGAGGTGCCGGGCTGCTTGATGGCAAGTTGACTAGTGGCGAGCTACCTGTGAAGTGCCGAGCTGCTTGGTGGCGAGCTGCCTAGTGGCGAGCTGCCTGTGAGGTGCCGGGCTGCTTGGTAGCGAGCTGCCTAGTGGCGAGCTACCTAGTGGCAAGCTGCTTGTGAAGTGTCGGCTGCTTGGTGGCAAACTGCCTAGTTGGCATGAGGTGCCATGTGTCATAATGTCATTGGAGGGCTAAATCCGCCCTCATCACAACCGAAGAATGTGCTGAGCAACGTTCACGGGGATGAACCACCGGTCTGCGACATTTTTCAGGGTTATCGACTGACCAAGGTGGATGAAAATAAGGCAAGGCAAAAACAGAGCAAACACGAGCTTGCTAAGGAGCCGGAAAGTTGCTCTTGGGACGATTTGGGTATTCGAGAATTAGGCCTATAACGGTGACGCATAGAAGTTTCATCAAGGGTACAACAGCACTTGGCAGATCTTCTCCAGGAGACGTTATCTTACCATCGACCGATGCTATAGAGAGTCTCAACATCCTCTTTAGGAGGTTCAAAACAAGATTTGCACACAGAATCAAACAAAAAGATTTAAAACTGCAAGAAACCCAATTAAGACCGATATTCGTTGACCACCATCAACAGATTATCCAAAACCCAGATGTCCAATCTGGAGGCCTACGACATGGGTTCTACAGATCTTCACAAATTATAACGAAATCGACGAAAAAGGGTCGGTAAGAATATATTTTGAGGCTCCTTCTAATCAATGAAACAACTTGCGGAGGTTTTGCCTATCAAATGAAACAAGCTTCAGAGCTTTTTTGGAATACAACCAATAGGAAAACAAAAAAAAAAAAAAAATATATATATATATATATATATATATATATATATATATACAAACCAAAGATGGTAAATCTAAAGTTCTACCGTAGATGCTACACTGGTTTGAGGACTTACAACAAAAGCACAAGAGATTTTTGCAGGAATCACAGTCAAAGTTGAGTTTAAAAATTAAAGAGAGAGAGAAAAGAAGAGAACTTACAAAACAGAGGAACCCAGAACTAAGAAGAGAGAAAGGGATGAGTTTCTCAGGCAAGCTGCCTTTCGTGGAGATATTGGAGCGATTCCAGAACTCCTTTTAAGAGGAACCGACTTCAGCGGTCACATAATTTCACAGTAAAACAGCCGCCTTGCAATTTTGCTTTTTTGGAGAGTAACCATACCTTAGCGGTGTTCCAATAGAAAGAGTCTTTTTCATAAGATGAACACGTGTCATATGCAAAGATATCAAACTAGTATTTAGTGGATCCCACGTAAGTATAAACAAAAAGAGTAAGACATTATGACCAAGACTCTTTGTCTCTGAACGATAGATGATACAAAGAAACGACGAAACGGATGGTTCACAATGAGTTAAGGTTGCTGAGATTTTTATGGTGTGTGCATCTCCCCATCAGGATTCGTTCAGTCTTCAATTGTGGGCCCGGTGCTTCCCTGATGGTTTATACAACAATGATAGTAATTATAATACAACCTGTAGTTTGCGTATCATCAAAACACCCCTCTATTTAGCACACTTTTTAACGTTTGTGTATTCGTTAGTGTCAATTGGATCGGATTTGCTCTAATCCGATTCGATCCGATATGAGTAAGGGAACAGATCCAATCCCATCCAATCTAGTAAATACTTTCGTCTGTTAAGTCTGGACTAATTCAATTATTATTTATTATGATTCATCCAATCCATCCAAAATGATTTTGAGTTGGACAGATCCGGCCAAAACCAGTTAATTAACACCCCTTATCCAACACCCATTAAGAAAGAATTGGATCTCCTACCAACAAAAATCCTAATTAAATGTTCCAACATTACGCACTCCACACGAGTTTGGGTCTCCTGAGCTCCATAATTAGTTCCACCACCCTGAGTTCGGCTTCTATCAGGGCAACAATCCATTCGACCAATTTTTATAGTTTTGAATTGGGAATATTTTCATATTTATGTTTTTTTATGGAGAAATATTCTCGATGCAAGGTTGCAAGAGGCTGTTGGGACAGTGTGACCACAGACTTGACCTGACCGAAGCCGATTATGGTGGGTCTCATCTTTATGGTGATGTGGTGTCAGTTATGATGGTAGGATGGCGAAATGTGTTTTGTGGGTAAGGGATCCCATTTGGCACATCACATGCATGGTGGGTCCCACACCAACCCAGTTCTTGTTGGAATGTGGTTGGGAGGGATTTTTGTTGGCAGGAGATCCAAAACTCATTTCGAAATGGTTTTTACTCCAAAAATTCCCTTAAAAAAAGTCCCATACCACCCTAGTTATTTTATTCCAAAAATAACTCCCTTCCCATATTTTTTTTCATTCCAAGAATAAAACAAAAAGCAATGGGGAAAAACAAACAATGAAAATAAAGAAATATAATACAAAAAATAAAATGGACAATAATAGAAAAAATTATTGGTTATTTTATTTTATTTTCTATTATCTTGCTTTGTTTTCTCTTTAATTTATTATTTTTTGATATTTTTCACATTATTTTATTTTTTATTCTATGTTATTTAAAATCAACATTTAGGTTATTACTTTTCTTTTAATTATTTTGGTCGAACCTGAAGAAGTTGCAAATTTGAGGGAGAGTCTTAGTAATATACAAACTATAAGATTGGTTTTAGTAATTATAAGAAATTATAGAGGATGCTTTAGCAAATGACCCTTTTTTAATGGAACATCTTTTTACCAAAAAAGAAAATCATTTGTAGCCTTGTCCACCTTGGAAACTTCTAGGTTTGGGCTCGGCCACAGGCCCAAACTTGGCTTGCAGATAGTAGCACCAGATTCAGTTATGATACCAAAAAGGCATGATATATTTTATATTTAAATTCATAGGCATAGAGAGCACGTGCTCACACTTATATTTCAATCACAAGGTCTAAGGCCATGTTTGGGAGTGCTTAAAAATAAATGTTTATTTAAAATAAGTGCTTATTTGAACCATTAAGCATTTATTGGTATTTGGGAAATAAGACAAACATTAGTGTTTATTTTAAAAATGAGGTCTTATTTTTTAAGCCCAAATTTCTAGTTTTTTTAAGTGCTTATGCAATAAGCATTTATTCAATTTTTTTCTTCCAAAATTATCCTAATTGAATTTTAAAATACCACTTATAAAATTATCCCTAGTTGAATTTTATAAAAGTACTTTTGTGAAAGCACTTTTATGAAAGTACTTTCAAGAAATCACTTTTACGAAAGTATTTTTACAAAAGCACTTTTGTAAAATGACTTTTACAAAAGCACTTTTATAAAAGTATTTTTATCAAAGAACTTTTACGAAAGCACTTCTATAAAAGTACTTTTATGAAAGCACTTTTATGAAAGTAGTTTTACGAAAGCACTTGAACAAAAGTACATTTAAAAAAGCACTTTTATGAAAGCATTAAAAAAGTACTTTTACGAAAGCACTTTTGCAAGTACCTTTACGAAAGCACTTTGTGAAAACACTTTTACCAAATCAATTTTGTGAAAACGCTTTTATGAAAGTACTTTCACGAAAGTACCTTTATGAAAGTACTTTTATGAAAGCACTTTTACGAAAGTACTTTTACAAAAACACTTTTATGAAAGAACTTTTACGAAAGCACTTTTATGAAAGTACTTTTGTAAAAATGCTTTCACAAAAGTACTTTCTTAAAAGTGTTTTCAAAAGGTGTATTTTGAAAATTTGAAAGAAAATGAAGGACAAAATAGTCGCAAATGCTTATTTAAGTGCTTATTAGAGAAAAAGACTATCAAACGCCCAATATAAAATAAATGCTTACTTTAACACTTGAAAAAGTTGGGTGGCAAATACAAATAAGTGTTTATTCAATAAGCATTTGTTTTTAAGCACTTATTTTTAACTTAAGAACTCCCAAACATGGGCTATTCCGATTCCAATTGTTTGGTTGGGCAGAATCGGAATCCCATTCCGATTCGTGCTGGAATGACATTCCCCCATTTGAGGGAATGGCCATTCCCTTCCCCTCCTTTGAGAATGAAATCCCATTTCTACAGATTTTAATTCTCATTCTCATTCCTATCTGAACCAAACAAATTATGGGAATGGATCATTCCGATTCTGATTCCAGAAAATTTTGATTTCAATTCCGGCCGAGAACCAAACGGACCCTAAAAATAAAAGTTGCAAATGTGTCTGACAAAAGCAGCAAATGTGTTGCAGAGAATAGATAGTCGAAGCACATGAAAATACTACGATACCTGACGTGTGTGCATGTGTCTGAAATGTGTGCCTTTGATGGGTAGCTTTCATTATTCTCTACTCTAGAGCATTATTGACTTCCCTCTATGAGCTATAGAGCTAGTCCAAATTGTGCGAATGCCTCCACTGTTTACCAATTGAATGGCTAACTAATAATTCAAGCTTCTCAACAGACAGAATTAGGACAAATTTAAGTAATTTCTATGACAGAAAGCTTAAAGATATTTCAGTTATAAGGTGGTGAAACGAAGAACATTCACATCTATATATATATATATATTTCAGTTAATGGTCTGATGAAAACCTATTTCATACCCAGAAATTAAAAAATGCTTCAGCTGGAGCTAATGGGGATGCTAAAATAGGAGTAGCTAGCAGGGGAAAGGTTTCACGGGTCACAATCATGATTTTCATACAAACATGACAATAGATATAGCTGAAGGCCAGATGAAGCCATTGTTGCATGGGAAGCCATTAATTTGGCAAAAAGATTAATTGGAAGGTAATTCAGCACTGACTGTAGAGAGTCTACAACCACAAGGACACTTGAGAAATATATAGCAAGGGACGTTATTAACATCTTGGTATTAATAATACAAGCTAGTCATCAATCCAACAAGGTTAACAAATTGCAGAGCAGACCTAATAATACAAGCTAGTCATCTTTTCTTTTGAATTGCCAAAAAAGAAAATTGAAGAACCACTTCTATCTGCAACCTTAACTCCTTTTCTTTCTTGTATGGACCTGTTAAACAGCAGCAGCAGAAGAAGCAGAAGAAGAAACTATTTTAAGAGTAAAATCTCCTTCAAATCAATCATCACACAAGTAGGCTGTAGCTTCTCCTTCACCCAGATCATATCCAGCCAAATAGTCTCTTATGAAACATAATTTAAAGTAGACCTCTGCAAGTGCAGTTAAAAGTTAAAGCCGCGGTTAGAGTAAGAGGAGGATTCAGTGGGCATGCATACAAAAGTTTCCTGCTGAATTAAAGACGGAAGAAAAAATTAAGGAAACAAAATCGTTAGCAAACAACCCATTAATCCTCTCCATATGGACCTATATATGGTGGTAGTTAAACTGTGTAGACCAGCTAGCAAACAAAAAAGAATGCAAATAAAGAGACCCAAAGACGCCATTACAGTCTGCATCTTTTGCCCAAAAGAAAGTATATGTATCGAGTTGCAGATGTTAACCAGATTTCCTGCTGAAGCCAGTAGCTGAAATTTGCTCAAGAGACAACCTTAGTTAGCTTGAAGTCGACTCATACATTCGAAACATATCACCATACACAATTACAGCAGCTCTTGCATCTTCAGATGAAGAACACTACTTATTCATGCTGTAAGATGAATTTACGAACCCAGTAGCCCGTAGTATAGATCATCCTGCACGCAATCCACCTTTGATACGAAGTCTGTCAAACCATCGTGCATGGTAAGGAAGAATTTAAAGTATCCCTCCAGGCTCCAGCCCTCCAATCCGAGACAGAATTAACCGAACTCAGCAGCCTGCATTATCGATCAAAAAGACATATGTTTCCTTTAATTCAATTCGATGTTTTCATGAACCAACTATTCAACAGCAGAAAATCAACTCAAAATCCTAAGAATAGAGATGGAAAGACTCCTACCTCTAAACGCTACCAACCCATGCATGAAACGAAGGAAGATTAGAAGGCATTCAGAATAGGTGACCCTTCAGTCCAAGGCGAGACAGCCATAAGCGAACTCAGCTCCTGAATCCTCTCATCAAAAACACATCTTCTCCGTGCCGACAGATGTGTTCATGAACCGACGATTCAGCAGCAGAGATCAACCCGAAACCATCTTGGTTGGACTGAAACGTCCCCTAACTCCAAAACCCATCAACCCTCCAGACAGACACAGACAGAGAGAGAGAGAGAGAGATTGAAAATTCAACAAGAATTATGAAACTTT